ACCCTGAGGGCAGAGACGGGCACAGCACCGCGCTGGGGCATGGTGCTTCCCACTCACCCTCTGGTCTATCAGGGAGTTTAAGCCCCCTGTTTCTGCTTTCCCTGCAGCTTCACAGTCAAGTAAAGAGACAGGGAGACCCAGCAGGAGCAGCCACACGCCGGGGCTGTGTAACTCCCCTGTTTGGATTAGATTAGGTTTGAAAACCGTGATGTGCACCGAGCCGGAGCGAGCGCAGCACGGAAACCAGACAGGGATACAACTCCCCCCCCTCCACCACCAATAAAACCATCAGCTTGAATCTTCCTGCATGAACTGTCTAAGCAATTGTGAAGGATGTCGGAAAAAATTGCAACCTGCTTATGGGTAATTCCTGATCGGCAGGAAACATGGAAAGGCATCGGGATAAGTGTCCACGCACAGTAATCCCCACCGCATGGGAATCAGCATCCTCCTCCATATCCCATTAAAGCAGGAGCCAGCACAGTACCACTGACCACTCCATGGCACAAAGGGACATCACCAATGGGAAAATCACCTGGAAAACCCTCAGCATCACAAACTGTTTCAATTGTAAGAGCATAAATAGATCCCTGGATAAGCGGATACAAGGATAAGGTGGCTGTGGGAGCCATCACAGATACATGGAAAGGGCCCAGCTGCAGGTACAAGCTCAACTGGTCTCAGAGCTGTGGGGAACCCATCTGAGCCCCCCAGAGACCTCAAGCCACTGGGGCAGCAGCACCAGCACCCAGCTGGGAAGTGCTCGGCAGCACCGGCCCAGAGGAGCTTTGAAAGATTAATGGAGTTTAAATGGAAGCGTTTGGAGGGGAGATAAGGCTCATCTGATATGAAATCATATGGAACAACGGCAGCCAGGGAGGCCCCAGGTCCATAATGAAGTCCACTTAGCACATTACTCACCATAATGTGCTTTTTATTAAAGTCCTGTGCTGCAGATGCTGGGGCTGGAGCCCAGCGCCTGAGGCTGGATGGCCCAAGGGACCCAGAGCACCCAGGCCCTCCACCAAAAGCTGTTAGGATGGAGCATGCCAGCCCTTAACGGTCCCAAAATGGGACCATTGGTGTCCTGTCCCCTTTGTGAGGCAGGGACAGGGCTGCTGCCTCTCCCAGCACCACAGCATCACCGGTCCCCATGGCTGGGGCTGGGCTGCCTGGCCCGCAGGGACGGGGTGGAGAGGAGGCGGAGGTAGGGAATAATACGAAGGAAAACCTCTTTTTTAATCATCAATTTTTCTGCATTAGAATGTGACATGCTAATCCACTGTGAAGCGTCTAATCTGAGGGATAAAGGGCTGGATAACACCAGCTGCACCCGGCTTGGCTGGCAGAGCAAGCGGAGGCAAGGTGGCAGGATCTGATAAAGGGTGGCAGGATTAGTCCCAGCAGAGATCCCGGCTGCCCGGGCAATCCCACCTCGCTTGGCTGCCCTGACGCTGCCTCTCGCCAGGGTCAGGGAGGGGATCTGCAGCCCCAGAGCTATCCCAAAGCAGCTCATCCTGCCCAGGCTCTGCAGGCGCCGCCACCACCACCTTGGCAGCTCTGGGAGCTGCAAAGCACATTCCTGGGCCACGGTAAATGGCAAACCTGATTTTCCTCCCCTTCAAAGCAATTGAAGCAGGACACTATGGGAGCAGGACAGCCCGGCTGCAGGGTGCCCATCTGCTCCATCAAATACCCATCCCCAAATACAGCTCCTGGCTGCTTTCACCCTCATCTCAACCTTTCCCACCAGGCTCCAGCCTCTGGGTACCTCATGGATGATGCAGGGAGCCCAGCCCCAGCTCAGCCAGCCCTTGGCAATGCCCCATTACAAACCCAAAAGGGTCCAGCTCCAGAGGCATTTTCTGCGACAGCCTCCCCAGGGCTGGGCTGCCGCTTGCAGGCCTGGGATAACAGAGCTTGCAATGTTGTTTTCTCCTCGCCTCCTCGGGGATTGGTTTATCTCTATGAATAACTCCATCCCAGCTTTGATCTCCTCTGCCATTAAAGCGTGACAGGCTGTGAAATGTGCTGTTGCTGCCGTCAAATCCCTCTCCCGCTTCCCTCCCGCCGCCTCCGTGTTCCCCTGCTCCGGGGAACCTCCTTTTCCTGGGCCCATGAGGAGCTGCAAAGCAGCGAGCGGGGCCCAACTGCCCCAGGATGGTGGCCAAATGCTCTGCCAGAGCCAGGAAAACCCAAGCTCCATCATCCCGCATCGCTCGCTGCAGCATTGAGCATCCCTGGTCCCCAGCGGTGGGTCAGGGCGAGGCGGCAGCATCCCGGCACGCGCCGCCACAGGGGCTGATGTCACGGTTAATTATAGCATCCCCCATCCCTCTCCCCCGACAAAGCTTTACCTGAGAGAGGGTAAAAATAACTCCTGGCAAGGGAAGAGCTGAAATGAGACCAAGCACTCATCCAGCACCTCCCAAACTCGCGCAAACCAGGACGACACCCCGCTGTCTGCAACATGGGGACGTGGCCACAGTTTGTCCCCAGTTGTGGAGTCAGGATACACTCTCCTGAGTGCTGGTGCCACCGTGCTCCAGGCTGTGGCCATCCCCGGTCACCTTCACCCCAGCTCAAGTGTCAGCTCTGGGACAGGAGGTGGTAACCAGAGCTGGGGCCGTGCTCATCCTCACTGCACCTCACAGCTGCTGGGAACCAGCCCTGGCACCTTCCACAAGCTGTTTAAGCCAAGTTAATGGCCCCAGCTAATAATGGAGTGGTTTTATTACAGCATATCCCTCTCCCTGCTGCAATTGCTCCCAAGAAGACACATTAAACCTCTCCATGCCATGGGGATCAGATCAACTCCTTGCTCACACTATCAGGGACTTACCCAGGGCTAAACAAGCCCCTTCAGGCTTCTCTTCCATTTTCCTTCCTGCTTCTCCTTTCCCTCCTACTGGCATCGCACAGGAACTCCCTATCCCAGAGCCCGGAAGCACCACAAATCCCATTCCAAGCTCAGGCAGCTATACCTGCTCACTCCCTGCTAGAAGCACCCTCTAGCAGCACGCAGTCAGCCCAGCTTGCTCCCAGCTGCCTCCGTGGGGCTGAACCAGCCCAATATCCTCAAAACCACTTCCCAGGTGAAGCCCTGATGCCTTTATAGCCCAGCCCTGCCCATGGTGCAGCTGCAGCTTGTCTCCATCATAGGCAAAGGGCTGGGATGAGACCTGGTCCCCATGGCATGGTGGCTCCCAGCCACCCAATCCACCTCCTTGGTCCCATTTCCCAGGATGAGTTTCCAGCTCAGACTCTCTGGGTTGTTCTCAAAAGACATGACCTTGCTCTTGGCTCTATGAAATCTCATCCCATGGCTCTGGCACTTGTTCCCAAGGTCACACGCTCTTTCTCTCAGGTGCCAACTGTGTCCCCAGCTTTGTGGCAACTGCCAGCATCCCTCTTCCACAAGGGCCCTGTTGGATATATTGAGCTTGGGGAGCCCCAGGATGGCTCCTCAAAGGACATCATCAGTCATGGTCTTGGCTGCGCCTGCCCTGGCAGGGATCCCCTGCCCATTACACTGGTGTCACTTGCATGGGAAGAGCAGATAAATTTGCTCTGGGATCAGATCAGATCCGTACAAGTTTCCTGGTTGCATTTGGTTGCCTGCTTTGGTGGCGCCTGTATCCGTGAACCAGGATGTGCGCAGGGACTGGGGGCCCCGCAGTGCATGTGGGAAAGGAGGCACAGCAGCTGAACTGGTGGGCTGGGGCATGCAATGAGCACCCAGACATCAGCCAAAACCTCCTGTCCAGCTCCTGTGCACCAAAGTGATGCTGTATTTAGATGCTCCCCTTCCCCTTCGGCCGCTGAGAGCGGCTGCAGTGCTGGGAAGGGGCTGGAGATTGCTCTGTGGTCACCTCGGATGCTTTCATGAAGTGCTGAGTGCAGGAGAAAAGCAAAACCACAAGCAGGGGCTGTGCTGCTGCAGGGCTGCAGCAACGAGATGCCTTTGTGCCCGGCTGCCAGCTCCATCCCACCACCATCACCAGGGCTGCGCCCCTGGACCCAGCACCACGAGGCCTGGACACCATTCCCCAGGGAAAGCGGTGGCTCCCTGTGCCCCACAGGGATCCAAAGCACGAGGTGACACACCACGCACTGCCTGGGCTCTGCAGAAGGAGTCATCACCTGAACCACAGTGGAGCCTAAATCCTGCCCAAAACAGCCCCGGACTGGAGGATGGACCTCACACCACTCATTGCCTTTGCTGGATGCTCCCACGCTTATACTGCTGCCCTATGGAACAGGGAGATGAGCCTATAGGGATGGTATGAGCACCATGGGGACACCACAGCATCCTCCTGCAATCTGGCACCACCCGGACGGGTGCTGCAGCAGGACAATATCACAGACATTTTGGGAAAACCTCTGGCTCCAGCTGCCCCGATGAAGAACCTCGGAGCAGCATATGGTGGTTTTGGAAACGGGCTGGCACCCGGCAGGGAGACCTTGGCTGGAGCTGCTGGTCGGGCTGCCAGGAGCGTGCTGCCCTGCAGTGAGGATGGAGGATGCAGTGTGAGGATGCAGCACTACTGGTACCCGTGGACACCTGTGTTCACCCGTGTTCACCCGCGCGGGCAGCACCTCAGCCCCCCCAGGCAGCACCAGGAGCTCCCAAAGCATCAGTGCTTCTGGAGCTGGCAAGGTCTCTGCTCCGTCCTGCCAGCAGCAGCCGGTTGTCCCAGGGGACGTGGGGAGCCGGCAGAACCGCCCCTCGCTCCTCCTCTCCTCCTCCCTGCTCCTGATATATCCTCCTCTCTCCGTCCCCTCCGAGCATCCCTCTGCTCCTCTCCTTCACGCGCCTCTCACTCCCTTTCCCTTCTCCGTTTCTCTTCTCTGAACTTGCCCCTTCCTCCCTCCCGGCTCTCCCCCAGCCCCTCTTACCCACATGCATTGAACCAGCCCACTGCTGAGGATCCCCGAGCTGTGCTGCCAGGGCAGGGACCAGGACCCCCACGCTGGAGCCAGGACCTCCACACTGGACAATGCCTCTCCAGATATTCTGCACCATCTCCTTCTCCAGCGAGGAAGGACCAAGAGATGTTGCAGCCACCGGGACAGGAGACAACGGAGCAGATGAGTTCCTGTATGGGCAGGAGGAGGATGAAGAGGAGGAGGAGGATGCAGGGGCAGCCACGGACTTTGTGGCCTTTGCCAGCAGCTGCACACTGCACGGCCTGAGCCACATCTTCGTGGAGGGCAGCCTGGGTGCCCGGCAGGCACTCTGGGCTCTGGCCTTCCTCCTCTCCCTCTCCGTCTTCCTCTACCAGGTGGCCGACCGCATCGTCTACTACCTGGAGTACCACCACGTCACACTGCTCAGCGAGGAGGACAGCCCTGAGATGACCTTCCCTGCCATCACCTTCTGCAACACCAACCGCGTGCGGCTCTCACAGCTCAGCCACGAGGATCTGCTCTACCTGGCGCCCCTGGTTGACTACGAGCCCGGGATGGAGCTGGGCTTCATGCCAGCCCAGCCTGGCCCTGAGGATGACGATGAGCCCCTCAATTTGTATGTGTTTTTTAACCGCACTTGCCACCAGCTGGAGGACATGCTGCTGAGCTGCAGCTACCGGGGCGAGCCGTGTGGCCCCGCTGACTTCACCGTGGTGAGTAGCCCCAAGGTGGCCGGGAGCAGGGAGCAGCTCCGGCCGGCACCATGTGGGACCAGGCACTGCGGGTGACACTGTCCTTGCCAGCCCAGGGACAGGCTGATATCCAGTGTCGCTGGAGTTGGGGACGGCACCGGCTGCAGAGACCTGCTGGTGGGACATGGAGAGCTGTGTTTGCAGAGGAGGTGTCTGGCATCTCTGTCCTGGCATCACCGTAGCGTCTGCAGCCCACCGGCCTCACGCGTCCCTTGCCTGGGCTGGCAGCAGCTCGGTGGCATGGAGACATGCTGGAGGTGTTAGCTGGAACGGACGAGGAGGGATGGGAGTGTTCGGGATCCCGTCCAGCCCTGTCCTCTGCAGGGATGGAGGAGGGCTCGGAGGAGGTGCTGGTGCTGGTGCAGGAGCAGGGCTGAGTGCCGCCGGCTTGGGGAGCTGGGGCTGCCACGGGGTGTGTGGGGTCGAGGTGCTTTAAATCTGCAAATGTCTCCTCTGGGTCCGTGCCATGGTGGGGAACATCTCCTCCTCCATCAGGGCCGTTCCAACGGTGAGAGACACCCCACGGAGCAGGAGCCTGAGCTGGATCATACCCCAGGCTGGGGATGACTGTGTTTCGGGGCTGGTGATTCCCTCCTGGCTCCACGCTGTGGTGTCGGCAGCAGTTTGGTGCTGGCAGAGGGGCCCCGGCCTCAACCCCGTGTCCTCTCCTGCAGGTCTTCACCCGCTATGGGAAGTGCTACACCTTCAACGCGGGGCAGGACGGGAAGCCCCGGCTCATCACCATGAAGGGGGGCACCGGCAACGGCCTGGAGATCATGTTAGACATTAAGCAGGACGAGTAC